ACTGCCAGTTCTCAAACCAAGGGCGTAGAACGGGAGAGAAGAACTGGCAATAAACTCTCCGCCACTCTTTTTAATCGACATTTTTTTGTTTTACAAAATGTTTGTTAGGAGCTGCAACCATTACACCATGTCCCATGTGACATTTAAAGTAATTAATAATAATAACATAAATTAAAAACAAAGACTTGTCCTCTACTGTGGTGAATGTGAAAAGTAAAGGAAGATAAATTATGTATAATGTATATAAATAACTTTTAAGAACAAGTAGTTAGAGGATATTAGTCAGTTAATTAATCAGATCTTGTTATATTCGATAGTTGGCTGATGAATTTAAGAAAAAACGTTGTAAAGCATCTATCAGGTCCCTAATCCGCATGGTTAAGCGAATAATTATTTTTTAATTGTTAACTATAGTCAAAACCGTTTATGACGACATCGTTTAGAACAACATACGGGTTATATTGACCCAAATCAATGTTCCCGCCTGAACTCAATTGTATTATATTCTTAATAACAACGTCACCGGCTGTTACGACTATCGGTTTTGCATGGGACTAGCTCAATTGGTGTGAATTGTCTTTTAAAATAAAAAAATAATAAAAAATAAAAATTTGTTCGCCTAACTGCAACGTCGGTTCTCTTACTCTTTCTCATTGTTCTATAGGAGGGCCGTCAACCAGTGGAGTTGTTCGAGTTACGAAGTAACGGGTCGGCACTCTGCACACGACTAATCCAAGTCAAGGCAGACCCTACACAACTCAATTCCGCTTTTTGGTAAGACCATTTTTTTCCTAAAACATTTTGAATTCATTTATTCCATATAACCCAGTACAGATACCCATCCATCCCGACTTATGTAGTGAATTTTTGTACCGCGCTATCCCAAGATAATATCTATCTATATATAAATCCCAAATGTCCTTATATTTAAACATTAGGATATTAAAAAGTATGAAAGTACCATTATCTCTATTTGTAATCTAACCATTCAATCCTAAAAAATTTCATCAATCTATTTAAAGTTCAGTGACATACACACTCACAGAAGAATTATTATATAAAGTTATGTTAATTTGTGTACACTTCAAAAAGTTCTGCACCGATGAAGCTGAAATGCATATGCTGATTAGCATGATACATAATCCACATCAAGGATTGTTTTTATCTATTTTTTTATTATTATTTTTTTTTGTTTTTTTTTTCCACAAGTTTTGCAAAATTAAACTTATATGAAATGTTTTCTTTGATTTGTTTCTCATTTCTCAACTATTCAATCACAATGTGCCACAGCGAAGCGTGGCAGGGAACAGCTAGTATCTTACATAATGTCAGAAATTGCATAGAAACACTTATTGTTTTTCGTAAAATCTTTGTTATATGGACATTGATACACTAGTATTACATATTAAGGCTAGCATTCTTCTATCATCATTTTAACCAGATCCCACTTGGGGTCACCAATTCAAAAGTTCTGACATAACTAAATATATGCTGATTAGCATGATACATAATCCACATCAAGGATTGTTTTTATCTATTTTTTTATTATTATTTTTTTGTTTTTTTTTCCACAATTTTCAAAATTAAACTTATATGAAATGTTTTCTTTGATTTGTTTCTCATTTCTCAACTATTCAATCACAATGTGCCACAGCGAAGCGTGGCAGGGAACACTAGTATCTTACATAATGTCAGAAATTGCATAGAAACACTTATTGTTTTTCGTAAAATCTTTGTTATATGGACATTGATACACTAGTATTACATATTAAGGCTAGCATTCTTCGTATGGCGATACTTATTTGTTGAACCAGGAATGCACCAGACTTGGGGTCACCAACTTCAAAAGTTCTCACATGAAGTGAAATGCATATGCTGATTAGCATGATACATAATCCACATCAAGGATTGTTTTTATCTATTTTTTATTATTATTTTTTTTTTTTTTTTTCCACAAGTTTTGCAAAATTAAACTTATATGAAATGTTTTCTTTGATTTGTTTTCATTTCTCAACTTTAATCACAATTGCCACAGCGAAGCGTGCAGGGAACATAGTATCTTACATAATGTCAGAAATTGCATAGAAACACTTATTGTTTTTCGTAAAATCTTTGTTATATGGACATTGATACACTAGTATTACATATTAAGGCTAGCATTCTTCGTATGGCGATACTTATTTGTTAAGCCAGGAATGCACCAGACTTGGGGTCACCGGAACTTCAAAAAGTTCTGCACCGATGAAGCTGAAATGCATATGCTGATTAGCATGATACATAATCCACATCAAGGATTGTTTTTATCTATTTTTTTATTATTATTTTTTTTTGTTTTTTTTTCCCACAAGTTTTGCAAAATTAAACTTATATGAAATGTTTTCTTTGATTTGTTTCTCATTTCTCAACTATTCAATCACAATGTGCCACAGCGAAGCGTGGCAGGGAACAGCTAGTATCTTTCATAATGTCAGAAATTGCATAGAAACACTTATTGTTTTTCGTAAAATCATATTAAGGCTAGCATTCTTCGTATGGCGATACTTATTTGTTGAGCCAGGAATGCACCAGACTTGGGGTCACCGGTACTACCAAGCGCCAACTTCAATCTTTAATCAGCGCCTGTGCACTTGAACCCCACAGCGCAAGAGTCTACCCTAAAGGAAACAATATCGAATTTCGAGGAACGACTCTTATACTTTCGCCGTTATTATATATAAATGATTTTTTTTTATAGCTACATCCTAAACGTGCCGCTAGAAGGCGGAAACGACACGTCCTCAGCGATCGTATACGCTTGGATTGGGAGTAAGAGCGACGCAGATTCTGCCAGGCTCATCGAACAAATCGCTGAGGAGAAATTCAACAACCCCTGGGTTAGCTTGCAGGTATGATGAATATATGATATAGAATGTTTTATTATTAATATATAAATTTATAAATAAAACCATGGCCTTCACTCTTATTTAAAAATGTATTAATTTATCTATGCCTATTAAAAGCACCTGTGTATTAACGGTGTGAGAGAAGAAAGGTGTTCTGTTCTTTCAACCTATAGGGAGGATCCTATTTCAGTCTAACCTCTGACTGGCCCGAAGGCCCCAGTGGCTAAGATCGTTGTAACTTAAGGCTAGGTTACACGGTGCGAGCTGGCATGCGAGCTGACCTAGACAGTTACTGAGGTGCAGCTACTATCCACCGTGTGACCGCATCATACAAGTAACTGTCATGTGCAAGTGGGTCAGCTGCTCGCGTCCGAGTTACTACAACATTTATTTCATTGCGACTGGTCCTACGCTCTCTCTAGCATCACTTATATTTACGTCAACTTTATAAAATGCCTTGGCAACAACATTGGCTTGAACTTCCACTGATATACTTACTTATTCTTGTAAAGAATTACCAAATCAAATCCTTATCATTCCTTTTAATACTCTATGTTTAAGGAGATATAGGTTTATAATCAATACCTAATCATTACACCTCATATCATATAGGTGTTGACGGAGGGTAGCGAGCCAGACAACTTCTTTTGGGTGGCTTTGGGCGGACGGAAACCGTACGAAACGGACGCAGACTTCCTCAACTTTACACGATTATTCCGCTGTTCGAATGAGAAAGGATATTTCACTGTATCTGAGAAATGTACTGATTTCTGTCAGGTTGGTATTTTGTATAAAGAAATATATAGCGCCATATCTAATTACCTTATTATACCTCTCTACCTATCTTGGATTTTTATTCAATATTTTGTCCAGAAATCAGTAAAATATTAAACATATTTTGAAATTGTTGATTTGAAAGGCATCTTTGTAAAGCAAAAATCACTATTGATATAGGAACAATATTTTTCTGGTAAAAGAATTAGCAACATCAGTTCTGTAGTTCAATAGTGAAAATTTATCATTTATTTAAAAATAATGTTACAGAACAATCAATTTAATTTGTTTTTAGGATGACCTTGCTGATGATGATATAATGATTCTCGACAACGGAGAACAAGTGTTCCTTTGGCTTGGAGCCAAGTGCTCAGAGGTGGAGATTAAGCTTGCTTATAAAAGTGCTCAGGTAAATAGAATTTTAATTATTTATGATCTCCTGCACTTGTACTGTGTCCAAGATCCTAGAATTTATCATTTAAGTGGTAGTTCTTATAGTTGGCCAAATGATCAATATTATGAACAAATTTATTACCTTTTTTATACTTTAGGTATACATTCAGCATATGAAGACAGTACAGCCTGAACGAGCAAGAAAACTATTCCTTACACTGAAAGACAAAGAGTCACGTAGATTCACCAAGTGCTTCCATGGCTGGGGGGAGCACAAGAGACCACCAGAGTAAAAAGATGTATTTATAAAATGTTTTAATCAATTAGTTCTAAAAGATATATTAATGCAGTATTACAGATTACATGTATCATCTGAAATAATTTCATATTATCAAAACAGCTATTATACTGCCATACTTTAAACAACTATATTATTAGATTGTTTCCGAGAAAGTGAAAATATCTAATGTAAAAAAACAAAAGCATTATAAACACACTTATTTTAAACATGCAAATAAAAGACTGATCTATGCCATCTCATCTTTATTTGTCACTTTTACTTATAAAATTAAGCACAAGTAATTATATCTTTAAGTAAACATAATTTGCAATACAAATATAATTTATTAATAAAATATTGACTAGCTTATGTTACAGACAGTTACTATAGGCCCTTTAAAGAACAATCTTACAACAAGAACTATTACTATTGTAAATATACAAATATTTTGTCAAGTAGAACTAAGTGTATATAATGTGTGTGTGATGCTTTGTAACATACTGAATATAATTTTGCTAAAATTGTGTTAAAAGCACAAATATATTTTATAAACCTTTGTAACCATCTGAATAAATGACATAACAATGAGATAAATGTTTTTTTTACCCGCATTTGATAGAGATATAAGATATTTAGAGAATTCATGGATTGCTCATAGTAAATTAGTTCATCTAATCGTCGTCATCATCGTCATCGGAAGGAACAAATAATTCATTTTCTTCTAAGAAGTTTGCAATATTTTTACTTATAGCTGCGCCAATAAGAAGTCCAGGGATCACCGCGCCCACCACACTTAAAATACCAAAAGGAGTCTTTTCGGGTTCTGGAAGTATAGCTCCGCTCGGTGTTGTCGTTGCTGTTCTCTTTGATATAAATGTACCATTTTTGTAATTTCCTTGCACAACCAGCCGAGTAAATCGCGTAAGGTACATTTTGTAATAATTTGGGGCTTTTCAGAGCCTTGTTTTATTATGCAGCTGACTTGATTTTTGAAAGTATAAAATAAGATCGTCATTGCCACTGCCAAGTCTTAGTTGAAGTTTGACAATCACTCAAAAGTCAAAATTGCTGTTTTAGGTAAATGTAAAGAGAACATTTTCAAATATGTACACCATCAACGAGTTATTGAAAACTGAAAAGTCAACTGTCATTTATTATCAATTTTTACTTTTCAAGTGTTTTTTGGTGTAAAAATATGTTGTTTAAGTAAACTATGTAAAATAAACATTAATATTTTTTTAGAACTTAAGGATCTTTATAAAGAGGAAGATGAATATTACACTGACTAGCTTAGAAGCTTTAATTTGTAAGTATAAATCGAATGTCCTTAATATTTTTCTGTTATATCGCTAAAATGTTATTGTCTTTTAGTAAAAGCAACACATGAATCTCTTCCGCAACCTGATCCTGCGGCCTTAGAGGCATTTTGTGCAATTATGCGTGAAGCCGCTGATGGGCATCATTTAGCGGCGCAGGCTTTAGCTTCTCGTATTCACGTACAAAATGCCCGTGAAGCTCTATTAGCCCTCTCTATGTTAGATCGTCTTATGCGTAAAGGCGACACGAACTTTCAAGCTGAAATTGGAAAATTTCGATTTTTGAATGAAATGATCAAGTTAGTTTCGCCTAAATATTTAGCTGACAGAACTGCTCCTGAAGTTAGGACTAGGGTAAGTCTTTCTTGCATTCCTTTCCCTTTTGAAACTATACCTAAACATGGACTTAGTCTGGTAACTTATTGTAACATAATTTATTATAGGTTTTACAATTACTGCATGCATGGTCTATTGAATATCCAAAGGAGAACAAATTTAAGGTGGCCTTCGACATGCTAAAAAACCAAGGTGTTATTAAGGAGACTCCACCACCTCTGCCTCCTGAGGAAGTATCTACAGCTCGACCTAGAATTAAAAGTGCAATTTTTGAAGATGATGAAAAATCAAAGCTGCTCCAAACATTACTTCAAAGCAAAAAACCAGAAGATCTACAGCATGCCAATAGATTAATCAAGAATATGGTTAAAGAGGTAAACTTAAGAATTGTTAATTATATATTTTTTATCCTTTTATTTTAAAAGTGTATTATAAACTGATATAAAGATGTAATTAAAAGTTGATATCTATTAACTATTAATTGCATTTTAAGCCTTCGTAATAACATATAACATTTAATTGTATAAATAAATATATTAGGAGGAAAAGAGAAATGAAGCCAACAGTCGCAGGGCATTAGAAGTGAATGCAGCTCTAGACAGTGCCGGGGTTCTGGCTGACATGTTGGATCATGCTGCTGAAGCTACTCCTGATGAAGAACAACTCATTCATGAACTACATTCCAGCTGCACTAGACTGCGAGTTGTGTTACAACATTTAGCTGCTTCTGACACTCAAGTTGAGAACCTTAGTAAGTGCCTAATCCTAACAGATTGTATCAAAAATCATATTATTTATAAAACAGAAGGTTCAATTTGATTAAATAGGCATTACTTGTTACTTGTATTATTTATATGTTTATTATTTCATCTTGCAGGTGACATCCTTCATGCAAGTGATGTTTTAGATGAAGTTTTTGATAAGTATAATAAGTACACAGTTAACAAAAAAAGTAACAAACTCACACCTACAAGCCAAAATAATGATAGTCTTTTAGACTTTGCGGGAGGATCTACCAGAAACACAGATAAAGGGCATGAAAACAGAGCTGTAGATGATTTAGGTGACATATTTTTAAATGAAAGCAGTTCAAATAGTCCAATCGTGGAACTCCTTACACCTGTCAGTTTAATACAAAATGGTAAGTTTATTTTCTTTACTATAAAGGAATGATTGGATTAAATTTTGATTATATCTATTTATAATCACTTTGTTTATTTTCTAAGTACTATAACCAGTATGGGATATTACAGGCACAGATCTGGCTAAGTTTTAGTAATTTTCTACAAATTGTTTAGCTATTTTAAAATAAATATAAACTGAGGACAAGGAATGTGTAGCCCTATGCAAGACTAACTTAGCCATAGACACTGTAAATTAATTTAAAGCAAGAGGGAATCTTTATGATTTTCAGAAGTAAATGTTATAAAATGTAAAAATATGAAATAAACATATAATATATTATATTTTGCTACTTCTTGACTTTGTAACAAATATGTTACAGATATCATAATATAATACATGTAGCAATGGCGTTAATCATCAGCTCCTATTGTTCTGAACTATATTATATTGTAAATAATTAGATTATGTAGTGTAAAAACTTAATAATTTACAAGGATAAATTATAGTCATAATCATTTATATTATCATTTTCCTTAATTTAATATTACTTGCCTAATATAAGAATAATAAAGTTACAATAAATTAGTAAATAGCATATCATTTAAAATTTAATAATAAAAGCCATTTTAGGAATCAAACCATCTTACTAAATAAAACCTCTCAACATTATTTGCTTAGGTACCTATGTTGCCTCAAAAGTTTTATTTGAATATTATCTTTAATATTTAAAGCAATATTGGAATATTAACTTGTTCAAAATCATTACAGATACTATCAATTTAGAACAAAAAGCTAAGAAGGCCGAAGGCTGGAATGAGCTAGACTCGCTTGGAGAGCAATTATTAAAGCAATCATTACCAGAAAATGCAAAACGAGTTGACAATTTTAATCAGTAAGTGAGATACTTTTTTTTTTAAATATTATCCTAAATTATTTCAAAAATATCTTCACAAAAATATACTGTAGGAAATATTAACAGTTTCGGTGTCCTAAATCAAAATATGTGTGTGACTTTTGTATCTCCTTTCAGGAAATCGAATAAAAAAATTCCAATGAATGCACTAGAAAAGTCACCACCAAAGGAAGATAATCAAAAGAATGAACAACTACTGGATCTTGATTTTTTCACCAAAAAACTGGACAACACAAACTTATCACCTGCTGCACAATCAATTTCCATCAGCCCAAATGACGATCTCATGGTGGATATAACTGAAACAATAAACAATAATATTCATACAAATGTAGAAAAAATACTAGACCTGGCACCTTTAGAAAACAATACAAGCGAGCAAAGTAAAGACACTGTCGAACAGAAGGTAAAATCCTTAGCCGATATAAATGTGACTTTGCAAAGTGTGCATCCTAGTAAAGTGGCTCCATTAACAGTGTTTGAAGATGAGGGTGTGACGGTAGTTCTGCATTTTTGTAAAGATAAACCGAGACCTGATGTTAATGTCGTTGTGGTGTCTACTAGGAGTAAGCATGAGTCCGCCATTGAGGATTATAAATTTCAAGCAGTGGTACCTAAGGTAAGGGGTATCTTGAATTTTTTATATCATAATTAATAGTTTAGTAACTGCTAAAACATATAATTTTAAATTATTGATTCAAATTAAAACAACAAACAAAAGTTATATTTGAATTTATTCAGAATTTAATGTTTAAACCAAAGTGTTAAATAACAAATTAGTTGAACAACAATTTTGGTATATTTTAATACAAATTTCCTTTTACTAAATTGCTGTGGTTGTTTGATTTAATAATTAAATAACCCGTTATTATTTATCGTGTACTGTGGAGCTATTACTTGATAGCCGAATATTATATGAAGTAAGATCCCAGAGCGATAAGACACAACTTATTTTCTAATGCATAGAACCTTCGGTTCTAAGTAGTCTCTGGTGTGCTTTTTAATACCTGTACGAGAGCAGTATACATGCGTTTCAGAGTAAAATACCTTAATATACTGCTCTCGCGCTCATACTCATAGTTGAGTAATTTTTGTGTTTAGGGGATGTTTGGTCATTACAATTTGTCTGATTAAATATAGCTTTGTAATATTTATTTGAATAACATATATAAAAATCAGACATTTAAAAATAAATTAAGTTCATTTATTTTTTGTAGAGCTTTAAAGCGTCTGACAAAAGTTCTGGCCCATGGAAAGCGTCTGACTTTTTTGATATTACTTCAGAGTAATATTCTACAAAATATATATAAAAATCAGTCATTAAAATTTAACTTAAGTAACTCTGATTTTTAGTTACCTTTCTCACCTGGTACCTGCGCAGGTGTCACCGAGCCAACTCCATAAGCGTACAGGTATTAAAAAGCACACCAGAGACTACTTAGAACCGAAGGTTCTATGCTTTAGAAAATAAGTTGTGTCTTATCGCTCTGGGATCTTGGACTATTAACGAAGTTTTATTAAATTGTAAACTAAAGACTAAATTGCTATGATAGATTAAGATTGAATAGACTGAATAGGTTACCATAGATAGGCAGCTGGTATTCTGGTGGAAATTTCCCCGTACTAGACTATCTAAAGTTAGTAATTCTTTTTTGGGAAAAGAGATACTCTTCTTTAATAAAATCCCAGAAGCTCTTTTATCTCTGCCTTTTAATAAATTTAATAAATTTAACAAATGTATTAAAGAAAAGCTGTGCTAAAAGGCTTACTATAAAGTCAACGATTATCTAGTTGATAAAAGGGCCTGGACTTTGCTATTTTAAAAGAGTACCGAGAGTTTTTTACGCCGGCTTTTTCTCTCGGCCTACACCCTCTGTCTTCTTTGCCGATGAGTAGGGATGTCTACCGATTCAAATTTAATGACGTGGAATAAGAGATACCTGTATCTTATGTTCCATAATAAACATATTGTATTTTTATTAATAAGTGTACCTGCTTTATTTCCAGGGTTGCAAAGTCCGTCTTCTCACACCATCTAGCACCTCTCTGCCAGCCTTCAACCCATTTTTGCCGCCACCCGCCCTAACCCAGGTACTACTCATCGGACGGCCGCCCAACATCTCTGATATTTCACTTAAATTCGTTCTGACGTACACATGTGATGACGAAATGTACTCAGAAATGGGAGAAGTTAAATCATTGCCACTTGATGTTTAATTTTTAAATCTGTTGAAAACCAAGAGCAGTAGAGCTACCAAAAATATAGCTGTCTCTTTTGCTCGCCTTTGTAGCAACAATTTCGGCATGTTCCTGTATTTGCTTTTTTTCAAGCGTTCAAGTATTACGTAACGAATTTTTATGTCCATTTGTAAAAAGTTACGATTGCGGGTCGGGGATTGAATTACGCGTTATTGTTAATATTATTTTCGACTTTCCAGTACTTAACACCACATAATGGTCTAACTTTTACGTATAAAGAGTCACTAGGTGGTCATGAAACGTTTTACTATACAGTACTGTACGTAGACGTTACGGCGTGTTGCAGATGGAAGGCAAATTGCTTCATAATTATAAAAATATTTAAAGACATAAAGAAATAGACACACATAAATGTTCGGTCACACTGACTTATAGTAAATAATTAAATATTTTTTTGTTTACTTCGCAGTTTAATTAACATCAACGACCTAATGTATTTAAGCACGGGTCGCATACTTTCCGTACAGCGGTACTTTTTTAGTATTTTAGTTTTATTTATAATGAATCTAGTCGAAATTTTTTGCATTTAACATTCCATGACGAACTGATTAATACTTAAGTTTTGTACTTATTTTGAAATATATCTTAAAGTAAATTTGGGGTAGAAAATGAATATTTTCTATTCGACAATCCTATAAAGTATTGACGCTGTTAAAACAGATGCATTTATTATGTACAATGGTATGTATTGCTGTGCAATAGACTCAGAATTATTATATTTAGTTTGTAAGGTGTTAAAATAAATATTATTGTCTGCTTGCTTGTTTGTCTTATTTTACTACAATTACCTAAGGGTAGTCTTTCGATTCTAAACATTTTTTCGTAACATACGTCACGTTTGAAGCACCAGCTTATAAACGTATCCAAACGAGATGGGATGAGACTAACAAATCAATATCAGTCCAATGGTTAAGGAAACATCGCTCGCTTGCCATTGTCTCTAACTACTACCGTAGTAAAAGTAGTAAGATTTTCTAGCTTTTATTACAAATTACTGAAATTTTAATAAGTTTAAACCACAACAATTTCAGTACACCTTTAGCAAATCGTATATATCAATCATATATCTCAAAAAATAAAGGGTTATTATTTTATTTAATAATAAATTATCATTTGTCATGCACGTTGAAGCAACCCTTATGACAGCTAAACAAGTTCTAGGTTTCATCTTACGTATTTCAAAGCCATTTAAAGATCCTAAAAGTTCTATAAACTTATAGAAAACACTTTAGGAATATGGAATTGTAGTCTCCCTTCTATAGAATTCATATGAATACGGAAGAATCGGGTCAATTGCCCGTCATAACTTAAAGCATTTGCTTAAACATTCGCCTTAAAATACACGATTTACTTTAATTGGGCCGCGGCGTGTATCTTTACCAGATAATATTCATACGGAATTGCTTGCTAAAATCCACTGCAGTACACTAGAAACAAATAGGTATATATTTTACGTGCCTGTCTCACGATTGTGCACATCGTTTGGACACGCTAACAGATTGTGTCGGCTGTACAATAAAATTGTGACCAAATCAAAATATACTCAGTGGACATTTTCAGCAACTGCAACGCCGAGCCGTTTTAGGAACCTTTATTATTATTACTTTTATTTCTTACACGGTGTTAATCCTACCTAATTTATATTTATTAATTTACATTTTTTTTGTAAACTCGCGGACGGACTCATGCCACTTCTTCGATAGAGTCCCCTCGGGATTCGTGTACCGCGATATCGCGGGCTACTCGACTGCGAAGAAGTTGCATGGATCTGATAAGCGCTGCGCCTAATTCGTAAATTCTCATGTCATTTTCACACGGTATATATTTTATTGCTTACATATTTAATAAGTATTTGATTGTCTTCGGTTTAATATGTGTGAGTTTTGAGGCACCTCTGTAACTTTATTATTACACATAGGTCTTACAATTTTTGCGAGATGGACAAACACTAGCTCCAATTTTCGCAAAACGTACAATGCATCAAACGGTTAGTATTTGTTCCCAAAAATGCATGTATTGTTTTATCACTATATTATAAAAGCGCAGAACCAGCAACAGAAGAAGGAATTAAGATTGATAAATTTTATAGAATACAAAAACTCCTACGTTATTGTATTTTTAGGGCTTAAATGTCATTGTCAGTTCTGGTTCGTCAATGTTAATAAAATGCGTGCATTACAAAAACATTTATTTACAAAATTTAAATGCAAGATGAACACTTGAAATCTTAAGTTACTACCCAGCTATAAACTATAAACATACCTAAGTTTAAAGATACACTTACGCTACTTAGAAATAAAGCAAATACTCTAATGTATGAACAAATTCATACACAAATATATACTTAGTAGTACATAATTAAATGCTTACAAAATAACAATAGTGAATAGTCGATTTTTTACAAGCCTTTATACATAGCCCAATGTCCGTGACTCATCTACTTATATATTTTTTATAGAAATGGCTAACTGTCATCTGTCAAAAGTTTATAAAAAGGTGGTATTTATTTATGTACAAATGTCAACGAAGTTTGTTTATTCTACCATTTAACATTCCCACAATTAGAAACACTTGCGTCAACAGAGTAGATAATATATTTTATGAAATATAAAAAAAATCTATTATAAACAAAGTCTGCGCGGAAAGCGAACCGTCGCGTCGCGTCGTGTGATTTAAGGTCCCAGCAGATATTATATTTTTTCTTATATTTAAAAAACTTTCAAGTTATTTAAGTGGACTTATATATTTAGTAGTATCTGATACGTAATATGGTAAAATTTAAAGTATATAATTTTTATAAATAAATGAAATGACGCGTATTCAAGGCTATAACCAATATTAGCATATTTGTTTATCACTTAAAATCTCCTGCGGCGTTTTTATTGCATTGTCTTGTGTATTTCACAAAAATTCAAGTAATATTGTCTTAATGTTGTTTTTGTAACTGTCCATACTAATAATATTAGATCTATACGGCTTGGTCACGGAAAGCTAGGGCTGTGATAGGTTTCTGATGTCCGCAATATTCGCGTTCTAAAGTCCCTTTCTCCAAATCCCACAGACGTGCGTAACTGTCCGATGAACCTGATAAAAACATTCAAAAAACTATTTTAAATACTCGTATTCCAACAGGAATTAGTCATAATCTCCACTTGAGAATTATCAAATATGTCTTTAGGTAATAGACCTTCAAATAGAATAAATTGTTTGTTAGTTACGAAACTAAAAATTCTATAAATCATTTGATTTTTGTGGGCATTATTTCTTGTAAATGAACGCTTCTGAAGTTTGTACAGATTATAAAATTTTTGTACTCATAGAAAATCTTGTCGATAGTCTTGTCAAATATAGTACGTACTCCATACAGTATAGCTGTCGGATACGAAAGCGAAAGAATTGAACTGAAGAACTACTGAAGCGAAGAACTGTCTAGGGGTCTCCAGTGTATAATAAAAATATCTATTTGATTGCATAATCTATATCCACTTCTTTAATATTGGGTTAAAGGCGCATGATTACTCACCTGTGAAGAGATATCTAGAGTCGATGGTGAAGGCGGCATCCCACACCCAGCGCTGTGTGTCGTGTCTCAATTCGCGTTTTAGGGTCCAGTCTTTTGTATTCCACACTTTCGCGGAACAGTCGCCAGATGTCGTTACTAACATACTAAAATGTGAATAAACTTAAATTAATTTAATATAAAAAGACTATCTTACATACTTTATAAATTATCAAGCAAGACAAATAAAACTATTTAACTATACTCTGATTTTTAATTCCGTAGAATTCTGACAGCTATCTTTTTTTGACATGTCAGAGAAGGCAAACCTTTTTGGCCGGGCACATTTTTAAATTTCAATACGAGTCTGAACATCTGAGTCTATACATACATTTTATTTGTTAGTGAATGTATTGTCTATTTTATTAAGTGCTGTGCTCCACATTAAAAGTGGTTTAACGGCGAGTGATAATTAAGTAATTAAAGCTAATTCGATATATTGTTCGTGATGTTGAAATATTTGTTATTTTTGTATTAGGTCACTCGAGTAAGTAAATATTTAGATTTACCTTTTTGTAGGTAAAACATAAAAAATACGTAGCATTTTTGTTATTGCCCTCAAATAAGTCAAATTTGTCCCTTTTTCGGTGGAGAACTTTTTTAGTGGCAACACTTATGAAATGTCAGAATTCTACGGAATGAAAAATCAGAGTATAACTGTATAAACGTAATATAAAAAAGCCTACAACCTTCTAGGTCTGGGCCTCAGATTTCTGTATGGGTTTCCTGATCATTTATTTTTCTTAATAGACGAGTAGGTGATCAGCATTCTGTGTCGGTCACACTCCGGTTTCCTAACGATCTTTTCCTTCGCGAGCGATTGTTAAATGCGCAAACGTAATATTATCAACCATAAAAATACTAGATTTCGCGCTTTATTACAATTTTACAATAACTTTGAGTCTCAAAAAAATCATTTTTATTTTATATTTATTAATCTATGTTACGATAAAAAAATAAAGATTTAATAAGGCAACCTTCATAATAGCACTAAGGGTAGATCAAATAACAAATTAAAATTACCAGTATCTAGCTTACCAAACTTACTTCTATAAAATAAATTACGCGAAAAATTGTGAAGCTCTTACGTATTTAAAAAATACTTACGTAGAATCCAAACTGAAGTTACATCTCAACGCGTACTTGCTATGAGCCTGTATATGTTTCTTTGGAACAGGCCGAGGCGGTGACCCACCCAAAGACCAAATATAACAATTTCCTTTATTATTGACACACGCCATTAATTTACCTTCTGGGTCTATTGCTATATCTTGGATAGAGGCCTCAGCTTCAGGTATCTAAAAATTACGCGCAGACATTTGAAAAATTATTTTTAATAATAAATATTATTGAAATTTAAAATGGAGGTAGTGAATATTTATACCATATCACTGTAAAGTTAAGAAATTTTGTATCGTTTGTGTTGTACAAGCAACAAGAAAAAAGTATTAAACACTAAACACAAAGTATTTAATTGACAATAATGGGGTCGAATTATAAAATTTTTGGTTGTCACTTTTTGGACATCTATACTGCTGTACCGTACTTAAATAAAGTATTAAACGCTAATACCGATGTGACATAATATGTAAAATGAATTGAGTTAAGCTAACAATTTAGGCAGATGTTAAAAATGAAATACTTCTTGAAATGGTATACGGAAATTGCCAAGCCAATGGTAAACCGCTATAAACATAGTTTAATGTTTATATGGCAACACTGAACATTTAAGATATGCACTAAAATAAATGTTAGCCATTTATACCACAAATGCTTAAATTATTTGGTGTAAAAGTTTTTGGGCTTTATTATCATAGAATATTATCCCATATATATAACAGCCATCTCAGGAATTATACACCACACAGATTATTAATTGAGCAAGTAAGCATATAATTATGAACTAATTAATAAATGTATGTAAAGTTTTTCTATAAACAGCCTTGAAGTCTGAACCTTGGGAAATCAACTAAAAAATATGTATAATTACAAGTTGTTCATTGTGATCAGTCTTCAAGTCCCAGATGTGAATAATTCCGCTCTGACCTCCTACCATAATCTGCGATTGGTCTGGGTGCAACACAACTGCATTTACTGGGGCCGGCACTTGAAATATCCGCTGACATTGAAATTGTCTTCCTGCTCTGCAAACAGATTAATATTATCACCTAGAAGTAACCTGTATTGAAAATGAAATCTTATTATTTTTTTACATAATGTATGTAATAGCTGTATTCCTATGCTACTATACTATAGATACTATAGTACTAAAGTAACATGTCTCTTCCACTTCGTTTACAACAAAATTATACATATGGCTAAATTCGAGGAGGTTAAATTATCAACTACTACTGAAAATGACAAAATACTTGTTATCAGAACTTGATTACGGAACTAAATAAAATTTATAAGACGGTTTACATAGATGCGACCTATTTTCATATGATCATTCACAAACAGATGTACAGACACAACCATAACCACACATATCACACACAGTTCAGTAAATTTAGCTTAATTTTGAATACCAAATTTACAGTATATTTGGTTTATATATTTTTAAGTACAAAGCTTTTGTTCTTTTATTGTACCTCATAAGAGTCTGGTCATCCACATCAGTAAAAAAAAGTTATGGTACTAAATTTACATTGACTATCACTTCACAAATCAAGAGTGTAGAATGACTGCAAAGAACTGGCAATAAACTCTTCGTCTTTTTAAAATGGCCAAGGTTTATTTATTTACATAATGTTTGTAAGCACTTGTAACCATTACATCACGCTCACATATCATCATATGTTAAATATACTGTAACATTACATACCTTAAATCCCAAATTCTGGCAGTGCAGTCTTCTCCACCAGTATACATCCACTGACCATTTTCCTGCAATGTTAACAGACATTATTGTTAGATGATATGTTTTTATTACTTCTTCATAGAACAGTATGACGGAAATTACTTTCTGATGAAAGATAATAATGACAAAACATTCAAACAAACAAAAAAAGATAATCTGATGGCTTTAAAGTTTAATTAGCAAAATATGTAAATAAGTGTGTGTTAGCTATATTTCATTTATTTAAATAACATACCTGAAAGCCAACACGTGAGACATTCTTAGTGACACCATCAAAGTTAATGATTGGATCAGGGTTGGCACTAGCTAAATCATACATCCGAATATGCTGGTACCCACATGCTGCAACCATTTGCCCGCTAGGGTTAATTTCTAAATCATTTACTTGCTGAAATTGATTAAACATACTACTTCAATAAATTAAATTTACATATTTCAAGCCTGACTCATGTTTTAAGATTCCTTGTTTAATAAAATCGCAGCAGAAACATAAACACTTAAATACACACGGATTTAGACAGATTTTAATATGATTTGCTTACCGAGTCTGGATGTTGCATAGTACGTAAACAAACACCGCTATGAGCCTGCCAGAGCTTGATGGTGTGATCGTAGCCACCAGTCACAAGTGCAACTTGAGAGGCCCCCGCAGGACCATCTCCAGACATTGTCATTGTTCAATATTATCAAAAAATTTCAAAAATATGAAATTATAACCTATTATACATTTTATCCAAAATTTATGAGAAATCAGGACAATTATTATTCTCCTATTGGCTCGAAAATATGGTACTTATTCATCAACTGTTTAAACTTTTCGGGAAAAGCTACACATCGCAATTGTTATTTTGTTTATAAATTACTATTTACTATACGTAATAAGTATTAAGTTTTTTTTTTTAATTTTATGGCCAGTTAACGAGACCTTTTCGCCAAATCAGTATAAATATAGCAGCCATAAAATGTTAGTTGGTACTTGGCAAATAACAATTTAGGAATTGCTATCGACATTCGTTATAAGCACATGACAATTGTCAGTACGACTTTTACCACGCAAGTAAGCACCAAGCTAGGGATGCCGATTCTTCCCGAAAAATATCGATTCGAATCGTTAACTGATGAATCGTTTTACAAATAATCGTGGTCTACAAGATCGATTTCAAGTATTTCAGTTTCAGGGCTTTCGGAAATGAAATTAATTTTTTATAACCAAATCTAAGTCAAATCAGGTATGTATGAAGATTTTTTTATATTAGGTATGTATATATAATTTCAAATTGTATTTATATAGATGCTGAGTGTATGCCTTTTCAGTAGCACATTGCAGTATTTTTGTTGTCTTTTTTATTTTATGTAACCTTATGCTGCTAAATAAATTTATTTTACTTTTAAATAGTGTTCCATTCAAACTTGACGTACTGACCAAGCGAGCGGCTTCGCGAGGACCAGCCTCGGACATTTGCCGCAGTACGCACGCCGCACGAGGCGGCTTCGGTCTGTAAGTTTTCTAATTCGAGGCTGCCTCACGCAGCAAGGTCGAGCCACCGTGAGCATCGACGCTTTGTTTAACTTGAAGTCGAATAGAGACCATATAGTTTGCCCGAGACCACCATGAGGCCGCACATTCGGAAAGCTGTCGCTACCACTGCCTTTTTAATAATTTTAAGGCTTGCAAAAACATGAAAACAGAAAACTAAACGTTTTTGGATTAAACTCTTATACAAAAATAGATTACAGGCCCAGGGACCAGATTGTTTGAAGAGTTGTGCTTCAAAAAATTTCACTCGAATGAGTAAAATCGAATTTGGCAATGTGTATTCTCTCATAAATGCCAAAATAAGCAAGAAGGACACAAATTTTCAAGAAGCAATATCCGCTAGGGAAAGATTATTATTGACGTTGAGATTTTTGGCCACAGGAAATTCTTATACCAGTCTAAAGTATCTATTTCGTATATCAAAACAAAGCATATCGGGTATAGTTCCTGAAGTCTGTGATGCTATAATTGAGGTGTTAAAGGATTATGTTAAGGTAAAATAAAATTACATATTTGAATTATTTTTTTAATTAAACAAATTAGAAAATCAGTGGCATCGATGATGCAGGAGGCATCGGTGAGGCAGGAGGCATCGGTGGGGTAGGAGGCATCAGGGAGGTAGAAGGCATTGGTGAGGCAGCAGGCATCGAATAATATGTAGATAGCGTCGATGAGGAAGAGGAATGAGACATATCTTAAATTGTCGTGTTCACCATATGATTGAGTATAATAACCATAACATAGAGCATACAGTGGCTCCCATGTCTGCATCAAAGATAATTTGATTTATTGCATTTTTTACGTATGATAATGTAATTTTATCATATTTTCTCAACTCATTTCCTATATATTGGCCATACACATTATAGGGATAATATTTTTCCGATATATTATCGCTTGCACACTGTTGTAAAAGTTTTAATGCTTCAAATATGGCGTTATCATTTTGGATCTCTTTTTAGGTCTAGTTGACTTTTGTTTAGGTCCTTCCGTTATCGTCGAGTTTGAAGTTCTATTTCTTTCTTCGTTATGACCGTCATCATTTCGAGTATTATCCAGACTTGCATTCTGTAAAGATAGAAATTATTACTTAATTTTATTTTCAGATACTATCATCCGAAGAAGAGTGGCTTACCATAGCGAAAGAGTAGGAGAGCAAATGGAATTTCCCAGATGTCATAGAAATAATGGATGGGAAGCATGTTATATTACAGTCGCCGATAAATAGTGGCAATGATTATGACTGTTACAAAATGTTTCCAAGTATAGTGCTTTTTGTTTTAGTTGACGCTAACTTTAAATTTATGTGCGTAGACGTTGGCAGCAAGGGACGTATATCAGATGGCGGTGTGTTTAAAAACACCAATTTATATAAAAAAAGTCGAAAAGAAGGAATTGAACATTCCTCCGCCAGAAATATTACAAATACCGTATAAAATTGCAGTGCCCTATTTTATTCTAGGCGATAAAGCTTTGCTCTCAATGATTACACATTGAAACCTTATGAAGGTACTCCAGAAAGAGGTTCAATGGAAAGGATTTACAATTATAAAGAACATCCATGACGCACAACTAACACTCAACGAATAAGCGAGGCAAAACACTACCGTCTTGAGTGAGCGCGGCAAACGTACTGAGCTGAGCCGTGAGAGGTCTGCCGTCTGAGGCCGTGACGTGCCTTGGAGCATCGATAAAAACTGACAACGCTCGGGCGAGGCACGTCTTGACCGGCCGAGGATTTGCCTCGCGAGACTGCTCGCTCAATCAGTACTCTGCTAATGCATCGAGTATATTAATACATCTTCAAAGCATCGGATCTATTCAATGTATCGCATTGTAAACACCGAAGTATATTGTATATCGAATATCCCTTATAGTTCGAGGCGAAGTCCGGGTTATTTAAGACATAATGTCGGAAGGTGGCAGATGAAATATCGACTATGATTGATTTTTAATTATAAAAACAATCGATTATTTTAAATATAAAAATACGCGTACCTACAAATATCGATTTTTAATTTAAAAAAAATCTATTATTTTTTCACATCCCTACACGTTTCTTGCTCCCATTTGCCGACAACAAATCAACGTTAACATGGTACCCGAGACTAGAACTATACTAACCTAATTATTATTTATTCCTATTTGTTAGCTCCATTAAAAAATGTAATCAATTTTGTACTACCTCAATAATTTTAACCAGAGGTACAAACTTTAAGTATGTAAAGAAATCTATGTACGAATCCTATAAATCAAGCTTGGTTCAGCACTCGGCAAATAAATTAATTTTATTGAAATCGACGGGTCTGGCTATTTTCGATCGGTATTATCTTAAAATTGGAATGTTTTATATAGAATAAACATATATACAGGAAATGGGAAATAAAATAAAAAACACCTTAAAAATAGAATTTTATATGAAATTACTTTATTGAACATGTAAAATCCATATTGACATGAGGAATGCTATTCTCATTTACAAAATAACACAGAATATGTAAAATTTCAGAGACTAATCACATTAAAACCTACCTATACAACTAAAAATACAACATACACATCAATTTTCTAAACATTAATCAAATTACTCACCTCGGTGACACATTCCGAGATGTAAGCTTAGCTTAAGTTTGGTACCATTATTAGTATTGAAATTTACAATGACAGAGGTAGGTTTTACTTTAATAATAAGCCATAGTTAATGAAATTGTCTCTAATTTTACATTTTGATATAGTTAAACCAAAACTTATGTCTTTGAGCACAAAGGTTATTTATACATAGCAACACATTATGGCAGAGCACAGCTTTTACTGCAGAGTTAGGTAAGAAGACATAGAGTTTTGATGAAACCACTCAAGGTACATTAATTAAAGGTGAGCATCCAGTCACAGCGAACTTAACAAGGGAGGGCTAACTGTACAATTTCCCCATTTTCATACATGCTAACACTTAACATTATTTTTTTTGAGGCTTAGAAATCTAGACCTTAGCCTGAACGCTGAACCTTTCCAAATTCTGCATGAAAAAGACTGCATACAGTGTGGTGCAGATGATAACATGAAGCTGCACAGGGCTATTCATTAAACAAATACACATAGTATAAGACATTAATAACCTGCTTGGCTCTATACATAACAACTGCATCACATGTTACACTCACCTAGAATCTATTCCTATTTAATTACTAAAACATTGTTACATACTAAACTACATATTAAAAAAATGTTAATGCCTGCAGAATACCAATATCCAGTTATTAATAATACAGAAAATAATAATTTTGTAAACTTCTGATAAAAGATGCTAAAAAAATTTGTTGTAATGTATACAGACTTTGGAAAGTCAGTGGTACATTATGTAATAAATTAAGTCCGAGTAAATTATTCAATATGAACAGAAATGCGTTGGTTTGGGAGATCATTCGCTTTCCTCATCATCGTCGTCACCATCTTCTTCCTCAGACTCTTCCTTCTTCTTCTTAGCCTTCTGAAAATGAAAGCATTGGAAATGTTTTTATTATAGATAAAGTTCTACTACTACCTATAGTTACATACAAATAAACAAAGCCAACAGGAAATAAGGAAAGTTATGATGCAGGTTACCTTGACGATAAATAGAATAAAATCATAATACAACTAAATTAAAGTGGTTTCATGTAATATACTCACAGGTGATGCCTTCTTTGCCTTCTTGCCTCTCTTTGTTGCCTGCTTCTTGCCACCACCACCACCTTCACCGCCACCGCCATTCGCGTTATATGATTCTAAGTCTTTAGTATATTGTTCTTTTGCTTGGGCTGCTTTTTCTTCCCATTCCTGATAAAAATAGAATATTGATATAAAACAAATCATAAATTGTGATATGAAAATCCAAGAGAAAGTAGGTTATAAAAAAAACAGTAAATAAAATCTTACACTCTTGTCTTTCATAGCCCTCCAAATTTCACCGCCTTTTTTAGCGATCTCGGTGACTTTCAAGCCTGGGTTATCGGATTTGATTTGTTCTCTTGCGCTGTTTAGCCATAGCATGTAAGCTGACATGGGACGCTTCGGCTTGTCCGACATTTTGACTTTTTTCCTGTAAATAATCATTTAAGAATACAAAAAACATCGAAAACGCGCGGCAACAGGTTATGCGGGCCATGCTGCACTCGATTCGAAGCGTCCGTATTGAACTAGGCGTTCTCTAGAACACACTTTTGGCGGGAAACCTATTTACAACCCATGCGCAAGAACAAAATGGTATTATTTCATTTCTGCATTTAAATCCCGACATTAATAGCACATTTCAATCAATTGGTAGCATATCATTGAACAAAAATTGTTATCGCCCCATATAACGAGTTCAGTGGCCTATGCTTGGGTCGTAAGAGCCATTTTGTTTTCACGTATTGTGTGGAAAATACGCAATAACTAATCATGACATAATTGCTACATCATCGCACATATAATAAGCTTTAACTTGTAGAAGAACTGTTCGATACCTTCAATGGAAAAGATTCGAGAAATAAATTATCAAAAATAGGGCGTCCTTTCTCATACCCACGCGTAGTACGGAAAGTACGGCGAAGCCCATAGCCATGTTTGAGTCAGAATTCCAACGTGGAAAAAACCTTGATTTACTAAAATAAGTCTTCATATACACATTAAAGCTTAGTATTATAAGTGGGTTTAGTAATAAAAATAATTAGACTTACCTGATGGCGAAAATTTTGAAATAATTTTTGAACTAGTGCACAACCAAACTGCAGACGTAGAGAACCGAAAGAAAATGTATGGAGCTCAAAGCAATGTTCCCAGAGCAAGCTAGCTTGGGGGGACCTCGCGTCATCACCACAGCGCCCTCTATCTTGGCTGTGATTGGCTGGGAGGTACAATGCTACCAACGCTAAAGTACTATCAATCGCCATACTATTACGTATATCCGTGACGTATGCTTTACCGGATTATACCAATATAGACTTTATGCTTTGGTAATATGGTATGATGTTGATTATTTAATCATACTCCATACTATGTGTTCTAAAATATTTTTACGGTTTTCTTCAAGAAAATAATGCTAATACTATTGATTAATCGACGCTACGAATCCATTTTGATGCATATTTCATTTTTTCACATCTACTTTACATAGTTTCATTTAAAAAGTATGTCAAAATTTGGCCTAGTCTACTGATAGGTTTCCTTACCAGCCTTAACAACATTAATTCGCGCCCGATTTTAAATGCAGCCAACGTGTATACGAAAAACTAAAAGCGCGGCAAACGTCAGAGCGAAAGGGATGCCAATAAAACATCGTTTGTTTACGATTTGATATTTCAAAGGGGATTGAGAAATAGATTTTATTTCGTTTCAATAAGGATGTAGCACTTACAGAAATAGAAATAAAATTCAATATATTTAACGGTTCCTTTCCTACCGTGTATTTTCTATTTCCTTGCATAAGCCACATTAAGAATTTTTTTATAAAAACTATGTTCATTTCTTATTAGGTAAATAAACATAGTTTTTATGTAATTAATTAGTAGTCATTGGTTAATTAATAATGATATTTTACTTTACGAAATACCATAATCATCTCGGTTCAGATGCTTTTATTTAATTTTTATGCTATATTTTACAGAAGCTTCATATTATCCTTCATAGATGATGTATAGTACGAGCTGAGGTAGTTATTATATCCATTGTATACCAACGATATTTTAGTTTAGGTAGTTATTTTTCCTATCCGGACATTTCGTTAACGAATCTAGCTAGGTATATTCATCTAAGTATTTTATCACTGTTACGAATGTTGGAATCCTTATCGTGTTTTAATTTTCTACGATTCTTAATAGTAAGGAATTCACAAAATTTTACAGTGAGTTGGTTTTTAAATAGGTACATTAATATTATAAATTGAGAAAAGATACACAATGGTTTACCTAAAAGGTAGGTTCTCTTAGGTAGAATGAAAAAGCTTCATTGATTTATAAAGGGTATCGGAAGTGGATTTGAAATCTACAATTCACGTAATAAACGATGAAATCATGACTATTTTAAAAGGTCGTTACTTATAGACGCACCGCATTTGGTAGCTTAATTTACGCTCTGCGGTAAATACTTAGTAAACTAAATCACAAGAGTTGTATTTAGTATATAACGATGCATGCCTATTAAGAATTTTTATTGTGTGATATTTCGTTGATGTAGCAAAAAAGACATATTTTAAGAAATACTTAAGTAGTCAGACTAACCATATCTACAAATTGATACATTTTTCTTCAAATTTTGGTTTTTGTTACGATAATTCGCTATAGGCAAACGCCCAATAAAAAAATAGAGGTAAAAAACTATCAGGCGTTAAAATTTACTAAGCATAATTTTATAATTAGAATTATATACATATTATTATAATTTTTTTAAAGTGTAACGACTTCAAAATGCATTCTTGTTATTTTTACTGATTGGTCTTTATTGAAGCGGGTTAAAAATGAGCTGCCTTAGAAACATAAAAACATGTTATACCTAATACAACATAATATTGTTTAAAAAAAAGTTTTTTTTTAAAAGTATCTTCCAATGTATTGTGTGTCACCGTGTCTTACAGCCTTTGTAAATTAGCCAAAAATATTTATTATAAAAAATCGAAGCTCGAATAACGGAACAGGTTGCACATAAACCGGTCAATACGCAGAATGCTTGTCTCCAAACTCAAATATAGGTAAATAACCAGTTCGACGCCTTGATCATTCATGGATTTAAAAAAAACAGGATTCTTTTCTTGAAAACATTTAGTACGCATTTAAACAAAAAATAATAATTACCTATATAGAACTTATGAATACTTTCACATGTTCATTTGTGGAGATTGCATTATCTGTAAATTTGTGTTTGTAAAAAATTGAAACACACGTGGACAATAATAAAAAGTAAAATCTATATTAAACTTGATTTCTTTAAAGATTAGATTTCGTATAAGTAATAATACAGTGGAAAAAAGTTGTTCTCGCTCTTATAATTTATAACTAACGTACAAAAAGCCCCTAAGACGTTACCGGGTCCCAAGAACTACCTAACCGTATTTCGTTTAACAATTGTAATGCAAAGGGATGCCGTGTAGGGAACAATTATTGTTGCAGTCCCTTGTAAAATGCTAAAGAAATAAATAATATATACGATGCATTGCGGATAATGTAAAGAGTAAATTAAGGTGTACACTTTGGTTGCTAGAAAACATTGTAAGTAACAATATTGAAGAAAAAATAACGAATTTAACGCTTAAACACGCAAATATCGTAAGGTTGTTATTTGAGAGAAGCAAAAATTTATTTGCAAATTTTTCCTGGATTCCTATACATATGTTGCATCAACGTAAACAATTACTTTATTGATCGTATATATTTATATAAAATAGACTACAACCAACCAAATTTTAACGTTTAATTATTTTATTTATCTTGAACTTAAAATAATAATACTGATCACCGCGTACATGCATGTTCGCGGATTTAATATTATCATTTTGATACGATAAGCAAACACCTATAGATAGAACCCAGTTTTTTCTTGTTTATTATACGAAACTGATGCTTGTGGTGTTTGATAAAATTTTATTATTATTATTATTTTTTTAGGTAAAAATATTTACTAAGTAATTAAATCACAAATACAGTATTTACAATTTTCTTAACTTATAAAGTAATAATCAAAATAATTAAAGAAGAAAGAAGAAAATCAAAACAAATTTAAAAAGTTTGGTCCCTCCCTTTGGCAGTGCCTCACCTTCACGCCGGCTCCACACCTTCGCCCCCCAATATTGGCCCCTCAACGCTAATTCGTCCAACGTGTGGATCTAGAAAATGGCATTGGTCCCAACGTTGGGGCGAGTGTTGGTAGTTGGCCGGCTCGTGTCGGTTTCATCAAAGGGAATCTGCGCCAACGCTCGCGATCTGTCCACACGCCTTGGCGCGTTTGCTTAGTTCTGTTACAGTACGCAGCGAGTGCGTACGTCGAGCAAGAATGGCTCCAGTGCGCCTCATCCACAAAATCGCCACCGGCATGGACAAATGAAAAGGTAATAGAATTTATTGAACTTTATCAAGCACATCCAATAATATGGGACGCAACTCGAAAGGATCATAAAAATAAAAATTTAATAGCTGATGCATGGCGCACCATTCAACAAAAAATGGGGAAAAATTTTCTTTTTAAAATTTTTTTAAAAAGCAGAATTTTGGTCCTTTGACGTGGCTTTTTACTTTTCTCAGTAACAAATATAAATGTGCACTCATCATTACTATAAACGCGCTCAGAGCAGTTTCGATTTCCGTATCGGACATCTTCACATTGGCCCTGACGGGACAGAACTAGTTTATTAGCCAACGTGACGCCCCCCCCCCACCGAGTTTGCAGTCCAACGTTGGTACGAGCGTTGGGACCCACATGGGGGCCGGCGTAACCTGGCGGCATTTCCTCGCTGTATTGCGAGACTTATTCTTTGAGCCAGGAAAGTGCCAGCTCTGTGGTCACCGGTACTATCTACCAGGCGCCAACTTAAATCTTTAATAAGCGCCTGTGCACTTGAACCCCACGGCCCAAGAGTCTCTACTCCAAAGGGAACAAAATTGAAGTTGGAGGAAAGACTCTTATATTTGTGCCGTTTGTTAATTTCTGCCTGTTCTGCGGCCGCGCCAGCTTTTTTGCTTGTCCGAAGGAGATGAGACGGGGCAAAGGTGTCTACACAGGTAGCATCCCATACTAAAGCCCGTCCCATTTTCCAAGGGATCAAAGACATTCCATCCGGCCGCTTGCCATCGTCTCTTGCGATGCCTGTTGGCTCCAAAATTGCTGGAACATTGACGGAGGCAAGAGAGCGGCGTAAAATGTCGTTTAGCGCGGCATGGCGAGAAAAACGACCTGCACTCTTTTGGCAGTGTAGGCCATGGTGTCCAAGGCTACTTACTTCAAAACCACAGGGACACTTATGGGGAGTACATATGGGCACTCCTAAGCGGAGGCTGATGTCAATTCGAAGTGATTCAGGGTCTAAAAGGGTGCCAGTGTTTGGCGAAGGATAAGCATTAAGCCAATGTCCAGCTTCCCTAGACCCCACAGCCATCAACCTTGCACGGTCTGTTATTGGAATGTGACCTAATAACTTTTTGAATTCACATTTGCAAAGAGGATCATCCCAGCTCCTTTGAAAGTTGACGCTAGAAGGCAAACTCAAGCCTGGGTTGGATGCTATCCACGCATATTTTTTTTTTTTTATTATATTATATCTATGATGATCTATGACGCGACAATGAGCTATTAGGTATGCCTTCTAAGAATATAAATTATAATAGTGAAGACATTATAGTATGAATGTTTGTAACGGACAAAACTCAAGTTTTTAAAAATTCTTTCCGACTATTAATAAGAAACCTATGTGTTTTATTTAAAAATGCTAATTGTATGGGTAAAAACAAGCCAACTGTATGCTTTTATTGAATTCGCTGCCAGCTGCGTAGGAATAATTCGAAAGCCCTGGATTTGATTGTCGCCGAATGAATAATAGTTTAGGGTTGGTATGCGCAGTATACTGCATACAAAAATTATCAATGAAATAGCAACGACAAGAGATTACACACACAGGACTTGGATGCAACGTTACATAGAGATTTATCCCGATAACGTGGGATAATTTAAGTCGTGTAGAAAAAGCTTTTGAGTATTTTTTTAACCCCTAATAATACGTATATTACGGAACAATATCTTGAGCATCCATGCAATAGCGATATGTATTCAAAATTACTCATTTACTCTTTTCTTACTATTACGAAGTACTTCAAGTAGTAAGATTACGTAAATATATTTATCAAAGTAGATTTTGAGATTAGATAGTCATACTCCTAACTTAGTGCTAAGTTTTGGCAACTCCGAATCTTAGGGAATTTCACGGATTTTTTTCATTGATTCTTCAACTTTCTTCTTTCAGACCCTAAGCACTGGTTACTGAAATTCTTGTTAAAAAAATCACAACACCTTAAAGCTATCTAATCTATAGAGATAAAACCTTAATAAATATATACATATAATCAAATATTCTACTAAAAAGAAATCGATAATGTATAAATATTTCTTTGATAAGAAAGAAGACACCGACTAGAAAGCTTAACATTAAATACTCGTTTATGAGTGGTTTATTCCTTTTTTTTGTTTTTACAAGCTATTCAGCCAGTTTTAAATATTTCTTTTCATTGTAATTTGTACCATGTCGGAGTTATTTGTTTTTTTGCGCGTAGAACCGTCTTATGGTGCCTGAGACAAAAGGCACCCTTCGGCTAAAGGCAAACGTAGACCGATAATAGACCACCGGATTTGCCAAATGCACAATAATTTGAAGCCAAAACCCGTGAAGTCTTGTCGAAAATACAAGAAGTCTTTAAATTGACTGTATTTAATCAAGATTGAAATAGAATTAAGAAATATTTTTCCTTAATATACTGCTGTTTTTTTATATATGTTTGACAAAACACGATAATCTATGTAAATTGTTTCTTAACTAATGTGTAGTAAACAACCTGTCTACCAAAAAAATCTTCCTGTCAATACCAACTTTCTTAGAAAGGTCACATATCCTGAAATTAAAAGCTATTTAAGACACTGCGTTGTCATCGCCTAAAATATAAAATTCTCGTGTCATAATGTTCGTTCCCATACTCCTCCGAAACGGCTCGACCGATTATTATGAATATTCAGTAAGTCTGAGAATCGGCTACTATCTATTTTTCAAACTCCTAAATGTTAAGGGTGGTCCACACCTAAATTTTATTTTTTTAGATAAATTTTTTGTTTTATTTTTTATGATACAGCATACAAAAATACATACAACCCTTAATTTTCACCCCTCTACGATTAAACCCTATTTTTTTATTTGTTAATTAAAAACTTATGACAGACTCTGAGGTTTATGGTAGGCTAAGTAAAATCACATTAAGGAGAAACGAAGTTCGCGGCGGCAGCTAGTAGTTATATTATATATATAAAGTATTAATTCAGTCAATATACCATGTGAATTGTTACCGCACAAGTTACTCTTACACCTTAGGGATTCTACCTTACCATTGCAGGTAGGAGAAGAGTGCAGGCATTCGACCGACCGCAAAAAGCTTGGCGCTAACTTTAATTTATCCCAACTTATTTCTTTATTTATTTCAATTCGAATTTAATATTTGTTATCTTTTCTGTCTTATACCTAATATAATCCATTAGCATATGATAATTAATTATCATACAAATAACAAAGCATTTTTTCCAATTTCGATGTTATTTATTTGGGACCCTTGGGGCCCGATAGGATGACTGAACCCTACAAATAATAGAATGAAAGCATCTTTCTGTTACAGAACATCGAGTTTACACTAACAAAACGAGTATTGCTATTAAAATTTGTAAGGCGCTTACTTTTAATAAAATTAGTGTGAAAATGAAATATAATTTTTAACACACAAGTCTTGGTTTAACAAAATCTATAAAATCAGGACTGGGCCTTGGTATGTTTCGTAACCATTTGTTTATTCATTCTAATAGGCAAATAATTACGCTTTCTATGCGTGACACACACCATCGACTTATTAAGTCTAAGGTATTCCTCACTTTTTCCTTCACCGTACGAGCGAGTGTTGAACGCGCAAATAGACAGAAAGTCCATTGACGCACAGCTGGGAACAAACCTGCGACCTCAGGGATGAGAATCACATGCTTGAGGCTTAGGCCAATACTGCTGCAAATAAATATACTTTTGATATTTTTATCTGCCTATATTAGTGAATTGAAATAACTATAATTATAAAAAAAAAGTTTATTAAACTAGCAATTACTTAATGAATATAACTATATACATAAGCAAACACAAAACTGAAAATCACAAAAATGGAATTCCAATTAACAATTTAATTATTTTATTTACAATGTTTGAACAAAATGTGAATACAACATATTTTTATTTGTATTACAAATTAATGTATTTGAGATTTATTTTATAACCATACATTGTTATATTATGTTAAAATTAATAAGATGAGTGAAAATACTTCATGGAACTAATCACTTCCGCTTTCGTCCCCGGAACCGGATGACGCCTCTGCCTCTGATGAAGATGCCTTCGCTTTCTTCGAATCTTTACTCTGAAAGACAAACATATTTTGTACATTACTTAACCATGTTAGGGGGTGCGAATAAAATCTTAAAAGAAATATCGTTAATATCACAAGTATTTCGTGAAATTTATAGAATTTAATAAGTTTTTATATATTTTTCATAATTATCTAGCTCATAGGGTTTGTTTCGAACTAAAAATACTATAAAATAATTTAGGCTGGCAACATTTTTTGTTGTTATATTACTTAATTACAGAAAATATTATCAATCAACCTCTTTGCTTTCCTTCTTCTTCCCACTATCAGAATTTGACGAGCTGTCATCATCTTCAATATACTCTTTACTGGTAAATTTCCCGGAACCGGATCCAGCGCTGGTGTTCTTCGCCTTTTTGCTTGGAGCGGGTACTCCTTTACTCTTCTTTTCTGCTGCTTTCTTCTCTTTATCAGCTTGCTTCTTCTTTTGTTTGAACTCGTCCGCCGCGCCGCTGTCCTTGTATTTTTTCATAGCTTCACTATAATCTTCTTTTGCTTTGCTTGCTTTTTCTTCCCATTCCTGAAAAATCAAATAAAATTAGTAATGGACACCAAGAGGTATTACTGCTGCTTGTATTAAAAGGTCCAATTTATTTAATATATAATATAAAGTTAAATAAATCTTGACTTCAGAATATTTTTATGTATGAACAATTTAATTATGTAGATATCTGGTGAATTGTTTAAAGTGAAATGCACCCTTCTTTGATTTATATGATATATACAACGGCTCATTGGTCAAGTGGTCAGTACCCTTGACTGCGAATCCATGGGTCCCGGGTTCGATGCCCTGCTGAGACAAAACATAGATATGATGAGCGTTTGGTGTTGTGCTTAGGTCTTGGGTGTTTAAATATGTATTTATATGTCTATCTATAATATGTATGTATATCCGTTGCCTAGTACCCATAACACAAGCTTCAACAGCTTAGCATGGGACTAGGTCAATTGGTGTGAATTGTCCAATCATATTATAATTATTATTATACGTATCTAAACCATGGAGCCAGTGAATATATATAGTATAGTATGTTTACAACTAGTGACAATTTTTTTAACATCAAATACCCCTAGATCTCAAAGTAAAAGAAAAGATCTTAACGGTTCAATAGAACAGTTAAATTTGACAATTGAGTGAAAAATATAATATTGCAAGCCACAATTACTTACCGATAAAGATATATGAATTTGTAAGCATAAATATAAAATATATTTAAAAGTTCAGATATCATATTCTCTTACCGACTTATCCTTAAGGTCTCTCCATAACTCTCCTCCCTTCTTGGCGACTTCTGTCACTTTGGTACCAGGGTTCTCTTCCACAATCTTCTTTCTGTTCTCATTGAGCCATAACATAAAGGCAGTAGAAGGTCTTTTAGGAGCATTTGCGTCCTTTTCACGTTTCTTCGATTTATCCTTGCGTTTACGAGGTGTCTCAGACTGAAAAGAAATGTATATTCAAGTATTCATAAATAAAATAGTATTTGCCGAAACTCAATTTCCGCCTGCGTCGATTTTATGCATTTTGACAAGAGCTTTTGCGTCCTCTTCAACAATAATCATCATATGTTTCAGTCAATTTACAGAACACCATAAATTATACAAATAAAACTTTCTGAGGAATCACAATTTCTAATTCGTTCGGTAGTTCGAGAATTCATCGCGTTCATACTTTCAGAAGCGAAAGAAAAGTTGCTCTAGTGGCTAAAGCCTCCGCCCTTATACCACACACGGTGTTCAAATCACACTTATCACAACGAGTTTCTTTCTACATGTGCCGTTTAAACGCTCCTACATTACGGCGCGCAAGGTAAAACATAAGAAACGAAACTTAAATTAGACGACATATGCCAGACAATGGATCACCTACATGTCTTTGGAATAAAAATGAACAAAAAACTGATGCAATCTGCAATCTTAGCCTCAGCCATGGAAGATTCATTGGACGTAATTTAATTTGCAAGGAAATATTAACACGAAGTTTGTAAGTCTGTATTTTTTATTTAATTTTGAAAAAAGATTATTAAGAAAATACATACGATTGTAATTGTTTTCTTGGGCTTCTTTTCTTTTTTCTTTTCCTTCTCTTTCTTACTTCCTTTAGATGCATCTGACGCATCCGAATCTTCCGACGACGATGGATTTGTATCGTATCTGAAAACATTAAAAGAGTTACTACTTAATGAGACAAATAAAATGGAAGATCTCAATAATACAAGTGGAAAAATTACTTTCTTAATAGCCGTGCCTTTAAACCGAAAATTGACTCGGAAATCGGAACTACACCCTAAACGCAGGTACTACCGAAGCCACAGATCATGTAATCTGTATCTATTAATATTCAATAATCAATGACGTGTGCCTACTCGATTCCCTATTGAGAATGTGGAGGAAGGATTGTGAACAGTTCTTCAAACCTAATAGGAGTATCCTCGACCAGTAACGACTGACTGGCCGGTCCAGAGACCCCTTTAATATTCCACCAACTAACTATTTTGATTGAATTCTGATAATTTCATTGGTATTTTACGATGCATTGAACTATTTAAAATCTATACCGAATTGCCTTAGAATATTTTTTAAATTTGTAAGACACATGGTGGCATCATTTGACGCACGTTTCTATTAGAACTGTTCTAAAAAACATAAGTTTGTATTCGTTCTCATAATCAACTATATATAGTATGTGATAATGTCCCGCTGTGGAACATTCTTCTACTTAGCATAATGCTGAGCAAGCGCCAATTACAGCCACAGTACACACTTGTAACGAACCGAATGGGAAACGAAAAAAAAAACCAATATTTTATATCTCTCATTAGGTATATTTTTGAAGTTATACTTCTTTAGACGCGTTATGAAAAAGTGATGAGAGTGAAATTTTACGATGCGCGCGCACCGTGACACAAAATTAACAGAATGAAGTTGCCCACGGAAGATGCTACGAACTTTTCAAATGTAAACTGAACTTTATTGACTATAATGACTCCTTTTCCAGTCTTTGATTATTTAATTGAAATTATTTATTTGCATGCAATCAAAAACTATTTTTAATAATGCCAAAGAAGTATAACTTCTTACGCGCGTACATAATAAGCACGCACCCTTTTTTTTATTAATTTTTTTTTCTTTGATTATTGTTATTTTGTGTTTGTGTGTTTTTGTTTGCAATAAATGATATGTCTATGTCTATTTATTATTTCATGTGCACTATACTAGTTTTACTATCTCAAAAGGCGTTGTTTCTGTATCAAGAAGTTCTCTCAGCATAATAATGTAGTCCATGTGAGCTAAAGGTAATTATTACTTAATTAAAAAGAACTTACTCTTCAGCAACGTCACTCTCTTTGGCCTTATCGGGATTAAAGTCTTCATCAGTACTTTCGTCTGAGCCATCGCTGTCATTCGAATCTCGTTCCTTCGCTTCAGCTTTGACTCTTTCGAGATACGCATCGGGCTCTTTCTCAGTGTCCGAATCACCGAAGTCGTCATCGTATAGAGCTTTGTCCTGAAAATAGATTTAATGAAGATGGGTTTAAGGGTGCGGAAGAAGAAGAAGAAGACTAAAAAGAATGTGAACCTACTTCATTAGTGTTTTTAATTAATAGTTTGCCCATTTACAAATTCATATACTAAAATTGGAATCAAACTAAGTGACATACAGATGGCAGATGGTCAAAAACGGTAACCCAATGGATTGGCCCAAAAGGACAAAGACACAAGGACCAAAAGAGCGATGGGCCTACGAGATTGCAAGGTTAACTGAAGTAGGACGAGCAGATTTGAGTTGAAGTTTTTTTTCTATTTAGTGATATAGACTTTATAAGATCACGCTACCAAATAACTTAGAAAAAACCACGGAGCAGAAACTACTTGAACATAATTTAACTATTTTCATATTTAAACAATTTACTCTTAGAAATAATGAAATAAAAAGGGCTAAATCATCATCAAAGGAACACAACAATGTATCTAATGAAAGTTGTAATTTCAAACGCCGAAATCATAAAATACTTACATTTTTGCCTGTATTCTTAACATGCAGTTTCTTAGTGGTGATATAATTGAATAACTTATCATATTCCCCTTTCTCTATACTACTGAATGTGTGGATACTGCCTTGTTTTAATTCTATTTCGAAATCGAATGATCTGAAATTAATAATATTAATTAATATATATTTCAAATTCAAAGCCTTTATTTCTACTAATACAAGAGTAAACTTTACAAAATATAAATGTATATAAAATAAGTTCTTTAAGATGGTTTTGTTGCACAGCTGTCTTCTTGTACAGCTTGACTTTGTGGCACAAAGGCCTCCTCCAGCTGTTTCCAGTACTTCCTATCCCTAGCAAGTCTTTGCCACAGAGGACCAGAGGCTTTTTTAAAGTCATCAGCCCACCGCAATATATATTTAAGCAACTTTAAATAGTAATTTCATTAAACGCGGAGTTAAGTCAAATGTCGTCACGCGTAACCGCGCACCTAAGACGCAGAGCGTGTTCGTCGAGTACGTACATATGATGCGGTGCTTCAATCTAGTATGGGACGTCACAGATAAGACATTTCGTCAACTTATATAATCTATTTCTAAATAATTTTGTTGTTCTTGGGATTCTATTTAATGACACCAAGATTAGTTCAGAAATTTAAGAGTGTTCTTGATACATGTTATACAATATATATTATAAATAATGCTTAACATTTTGTTTTCAAGAGATTTAATTTTTTACAACACAAGTGTATTAAATCTATATTTTAAGACAGGGTCTAGTAGGCCTAATATTTGTTTCGTGACCATTTGTTTTTTCTAATAGGCAAGTAGTGACTTTTTGAGTCTAAGACGAAACCGGTACCTCACGATGCTTTCAATCACCGTACGTGCACGTTTTAAACACGCAAATAGACTAATTCCATTGGTAAAAACTGGGAACTTAAAATAAATAATAATAAAATTTCTAAAACCTCATACTAAATAACTTTTAAATGATAAGATTTTTGATCTATATTATAAAAACATTGAATTTAGAAATGAAACTTCTCAATATCTTAGTAAAAACATCGGTTTAAATAAAAAAAAACGAAACCATCCATATTTAGATAATATTCTATGTTAAGATGTTAAAGGTTTTCTATTTAACATTTAGCTTAGCTTTAATGATTGAAATTTAACTTACTTAGTAGATGAAGCCCCTCCTCTCGCGAAGTTAACCGAGGCGATTTCTTCAAAGCGGATGTGGACGGGTGGTTTGTGGACATAGATGAAGCCTTTCTCTAGCGGGTACAAATATCCAGCCGCTGCCTTGTATGAACAAGCTATGGCTGGTGTTTTGTGATGCCTGAAATGAAATAATTATCATTTAAAGTATATATACTGGTGTTTTGTATATGGATGAATATAAACAAAATTTGTTAGAACCTGAAGTTTTGGTAGTTCTATATATGCCCGATAAGAATGTTAACTTATAAAACAAGCAACATACAAATTTGTATTACATGTTTCATAAATTTAAGAACATACATGTAAAAAAAAATATTAACTAAAACTAGATCAGTCTAATTGCATTCTTTGAACTATTTCGGTCAAATTTTGTTAATCCTGGGATCATATGTCGAAATCTATGGATTCTGAGATCGTTAAATGATCCAGATATAAACTCGCAAGTCACATAGAAATTAGAACTAGCCAAGGGATTTCGAAGCTACAGAGGCTTTACTATCTTGGTATGACTTTGAGGTTTACTAACACAAACACAGTGCACGATCATAACAACTTTCAGCTACACTCTCAGATACATGCGCATACACACCCATTCACTCATTCTTAATTTGTAACACTAAATTTATTGTTATTATTTTTTTTAACCGTTTTAAACATGTACCACGTAATAATTGTTTTCTAGTTACCCACAACTCAGGGCCTCCCTAGTGTGGGGACTAGCGATATATGAATTCTGTCACAACCCTTTTGTCATAAATAAAGTTTTTATTATTTATAAAATATACATTTGCATGGTGATGCAGGTGTTAATAAGAAATTGTAGTTTATAACTGTGTTCGGCATTTTGTTGTTTAATTGATTGTGATTAAGCAAATGACCAGCCTTCTGTGCCTACCAACCAGAAGTTTATCGTTAGTATTTAATTAACTCTTACCCTAAGAAATCACCAGGTCCGGTTACACGTCTGTTGATGATAACTTTCATAATTTTTGCTAGAACTTCATATGTTGGCCCAGATAGTTCCTTTGTGATTTTGTCTTCATACTTTTCTTTTAGTTCCTCTCTAAAACATTCAAATATACAATTACTATTCATTTAAGTTTTGTAACAAGAGTAATTTAATTATTAAAATTAAACAAGGATATTTACTATTTATTTATTTAAGCTGTGAAAAATGTTATAATTATGACTATTAACTTCTCATTATATTAAAATAAATCTAAATATTTTTATATTAATACTTACTCAGTAAAAGGTAGCTCCAGGCTAGTTTCCTCTTCAATACCAAAGAGCAATACTAAATAATGATATCTTGTTTGACCCTGTTTAATAGGTGGGTCCAAAGATACAACAAAGAACATTTGCCGTGTGTCTTTGTGTGGTAATAGAAACAGACGAAGCACTGTAGACATTGGTATCTTGTAATCAAAAGTTTTACCATGGAGTTGGAAGAATGTTTGAAATACTTTGATATCATAACGACCACTGTAATAAAAAAAATCACAATGTGGATAACATGTTTTTAAATTTAAAAATTAATGGAAAATCTTGTATGGGAATTATAATTTTAGAAAATAATTTCTTCGAACGCTCATTGAAATTAAAAACTTCAAGCTATTAAATCTTGAACTTGTTGACTTTATTTTTTTGTTTTGTTATATACTGTAAGTAGGTAAGTAAATATTTTAGTAGGATCATAATATGTTTGCTTAAGACTATGGACAAAAATATGTAAAATATATACCGTGGTGTAAGACATTGTAACTCTCGGAAGATAGCGATGGCATCTCCAGAGACAGAAATGACACTGGCTTTGTTCATCACTTGTTGGTGGAAAGCCTCCACAGCATCCATATCGCCTGCCAACTCACTTGTTGGTATGTGAAAACGCATTTCCATCAAAGATACTGGTGTGTCATCATTCTAGAAAAAACAAAAATACTTAATTTAACATTCTTCAAAACAGTTTCAGCAATTCTGATTTCACAAATTTTTGATCTGCGTCAATAAGTTATAACAAAATATAATAGCTTTATTAAATTTAGCACTTTACATGTTTTATATATAAGTACTTTTAAGTAGACTAGCTTGCTACATTTACTTTATTTAATATATTGGTGACTTATAAGACATTTTTATTATCACCAAAAGTGCAACTATATAATTATAAATTAACTAATTAACTTATTTATAAAGAAAAATAAGCATAAAAAAACAAAATACTTTTGAACCCACAATTAATTTGATTACCTGATGGAATTCTAATGTTACTTCATTCTTGCCTGTGTTGCACTGTGACACATAATGTAAGGGAATTTCAAATGCTGTATTTGACCCCACATTATAGCTAAGTACAGCTCCATTAAACTTAGCTGTGCCCCAGTTCCAGCCCTTTAGAGATAATTCCTTTTCTAACATGTCCTTCTTATAATTAGTTTTAAAAAACTTAGCCACTTTTTCTTGTTCCTTAAATAATAAATAATTTATTTTTAAGGGTCTTTAGGAGCTAGTCTTGGATGACAGTATGACCAATTTTTAAATTAAAATTATTTTTCGTTTAACTTCTCAGCTTTTCACTTTCCACATATTAAGATTTTACACTCCATATAAAATAATTAAGATGTCAAGGTATTAATAGATTTAAATAAAATAAATTTTAAAAACATTACCCCTTCTTTAAATCCTCCATATCTGTGTAGAGTACCATTCTTAAGAAAAACCCGGAGCCCCCAGGAGCCTATAAATTTCTGAAAATTAACTAGCTCTATGTCATTGGAAGAAATTTGTTCCACTTTTCCAGTCTTGCTATTTTTGAAGATAATGTTCTGATCGGTCATCTTCAGCCGTCCAGGCACCTAGGAAGAAGAATATAAACAACATTTTAAGAGGTTGTAAAAGTGAGGCATAATATATAACATACGAAAGTACTAGCACATTTTATTCGATTTTAAGATAGTTATGTTCTTTACTAGCAAAAAAGTCTTACTTAAATTTATTATAAAGCCTCGATAACATACCATGGTGCCTTTTATTTCAGCTGAAACATCGTTGTATTCTAAAAACTCCATAGTAGCGTGTGCTGGAGAATATACAATTCCTTGCCTTGCCTTTCTTTCGCTTTTTTATTGCCGTTATGTAATAATTACCGACTGGCAATATGAAACACAACGCAACAAAAGGAAATTAATATGTATTATGTATTTAAATACGGTACTATTCGGTAAATAAGAATCAACTTGAATCATCAATCAAGTAATAACAAGCGGTAAGCCTGAAGTCAACAGAGTAGAGTTCCTTTACAAAAAGTTTAATCCCTTAACACAGTACACACACTAGTAAAGTTGACTGCTTGTGTGATCTGTGTAGACACGAAAAAGACGTATCGATATTTTGTGATATCGAGTTTTTTTTTATTTTCAATAGCGATTCTGACAACTTTTTGACAGATATCTCATATGTATATTTAGCTTATATAGCTTAGATTGTAGAACCTTACAAAGTGGTATTCGATGCAATTAACTATTAAGTGTCGATAGGAAATTGTCAATACATAGTTCAAAGAATCAATCTATTTACGTGTATTTTTACCTAAATATTTTCTAATCGATTCCCTGTATACTGTTGATTGAAAAAAACATTTAAAGATAGATTAGATGTGCAAAATCATTAGGCCTTTTAATTATATACTGGAATGTTTAATAATAAAAGTTATGAAATTGTTATTATTTATCTTAATCCGTATTTATATGAACCTGCGTGTGTAAAGAAATGACATAGATATAACATAACATCGTTAAGTAATTATACAACTGGAACGTTAAGCATGAAAATCCATTTTTCGTGTATTAAAAATACCACGACATCCAACAGTGTTTTCACATTTAGGATATTATAAGCGTACTAGCAAACCCGGCGAACTCCGTTTCGCCACCAGATGGCTTCGTTTTATAGTGTTCGCGTTGTCGCAATTAATCACTATATAAATAATAAAACTTGTGTGAACTCAAAGATGTATATATTTATCGTAAAAATAAACCGCGGCGTCGGCAGCGAGTTGCACGTGTGTCGCTTAAGAAATCGTGGGCCGTACTGGTGGCGGAGCGCGCTGTGGAATGCGCGTGCCTCGCCCCCGCCTGCCGCGGAGAACAATAGACACGGTCTATACGTAGAAGTTGGTAAGTACATTTTTAATACATAATTTAATTCTTAGTAATTTTTATTGATGTTTTATTTCAGCTACCAATGACGACGAGGACGCCACATCACTCCCCTGCCGAGACCGTTTCACGGTCGATAGTAGTCCGGAAACTTAACTAATCTTCCACTTCTAGTCTTTTTTTCAGGTGGCGGTGCATCGTGATTGGTGTGGAACGGCAGTGCGGTCATCGGTGGACGAATGGTCGTGTCGTATTCTCTGTTTTCTTTCGTAAGGTAAGCTGGTTTTATTCTGTCTATTGTTACTGTAACTTCTTTGCCTTTTATGTCTAATGAAAATGTTTTTGTATTTCTTTTCAGAACTTTATAAGGGCCGGTATATGGTGATTCAAGCGATCGTTTTGCGGGACCACGGCGAAGAAAAACAAACTGTGCAGTATGTATGTCATTCGGCAAATAGAATGTTTTACTGTTGTGGTTTGATGCAGGAGTTGGGGTTAATGCTGCCATATGATTTCTCAAGCGAGCTGTATAGTCTGCTGGATTTAGGTTCTGGTCAAGCGAAGTTGAGAAAAATTGTCCCGGTAGTCGTAGTGGTTCTCCATATACTAGCTCGGCGGCTGATGCCTGCAGATCTTCTTTCCAGGCAGCTCTTATTCCTAGTAGCACTAGGGGAAGTGTTTCAGTCCACTGTGGGTTGTTGTGACAGATGATGGCTGCTTTTAGTTGGCGATGTAATCTCTCCACCATTCCATTGCATTGCGGATGGTATGAGGTGGTGGGACGATGTTCTGCGCCGATCAGGTTGGTGATGCTTTGGAAGAGTTGTGATTGAAATTGTAAGCCTCTGTCTGTTGTTACAGTTTGTGGACATCCATGACGAGATACCCAGTTGGTAATGAACGCGGAAGCACAAGTTTCTGCTGTAATATCCGCTAGTGGATAGCCATCAGGCCAACGTGTGAAGCGGTCTATTGCTGTCAGGCAGTATCTAAAGCCATTAGAGTATGGTAATGGGCCTATAATGTCCAGGTGTACGTGGGCGAAACGTTCTGATGGTACTGGAAAGGTTGTAAATGGTGCGTTCGTATGTCTGTTGACTTTACTTCGTTGGCAGTCTACGCATTCCTTTGCCCAAGTTTTGCAATCGCGTCTTACTCCGGGCCACACAAATCTTTGAGCTACCATTTTAGCAGTGGTAGGGCCGCTTGGATGGCTGAGTTGATGTATGGTTTCAAAAACGCGTTTGCGATAGGCAGGTGTTATGTACGGTCTAGGCGATTTGGTGGAAAAATCGCAGTACAGCTGGTTTTCAGCAATCTGTTTCAGTTGTAGTGCTGTGTTTTTAGTTAGCAAAGCTTGCAATTCAGGGTCTTGAGCCTGATCTCTTGCAAGTGCGTCGTAATTTATAGTGACAATCTCTTCTACACGTGATAGGGCGTCAGCGACGATGTTGTCTTTCCCGGGAATGTATTTTAGATCGGTGGTGAATTGAGATATGTAGTCAAGATAGCGGAATTGTCTTGGAGAGCACTGGCTTCTGTTTGTTGTGAAGGCGTAGGTGATGGGCTTGTGGTCGGTGTAAATGCAAAAGTTTCTTGCTTCCAACATATATTTAAAGTGTTTGATACCTTCGTATATGGCCAGTAGCTCCCTATCGTATGGACTATATTTTTTTTGCGATGTCGTCAGTTTACGGAGAAAAATCCCAAGGGTTCCCAGTTGCCTTTTCGTTTTTGTTGCAAGACAGCGCCGATGGAGTCGTCTGAAGCATCTGTGAAAAAGGCTAGATCCAGGTTGATTTCAGGGTGGACAAGAAGAGTGGCTTGAGATAGGCTGCGCTTGCACTCATTGAAAGCTGTTACAAGGTTAGTCATATCGATAGGTGCATTTCCTTTGATGTTACCTGTTAGGGCATCGTTCAGAGGAGCCTGTATCTTTGCTGCATCAGGGATGAATTTCCGGTAGTAGTTTATCATTCCCAGGAACCGTCGGAGTTGCTTTGCTGTTTTCGGCTGTGGGTAGTTGGTAATTGCTTCCACTTTCTCTTTGAGAGGGCGTATGCCTTCAGTCGAGACGCTGTAGCCGAGGAAAGTTACTTCGTTAATGCCGAATATGGACTTAGAGGTGTTTATTAAGATGCCATACTGGTTAAGTCGTTCGAAGACAGTTTTAAGGTGCTGAAGATGGAGTTCTCTGGTCTTCGAGAATACTAGGATGTCGTCAATATACCCATATGTAAATTCCAGGCCTTGAAGAACTTCATCGATGAATCTTTGGAAGGTTTGAGCAGCGTTTCTTAAACCAAAGGTCATATACGGAAATTCGAACAGTCCGAATGGTGTCGTTATGGCTGTTTTAGGTATGTCCTCATTCGCGACAGGTATCTGATTGTAGGCCTTAATCAGGTCAATCTTTGAAAATATTTTAGCTCCAGACAGCTGGTAAACAAAGTCATTAATCTGTCTTATTGGATATCGATCAGGGATGGTTCTGGCATTAAGTGCTCTATAGTCACCGCATGGTCTCCAACCGTCGTCCTTCTTTTTGGCTAAATGTAAGGGAGACGACCATGGGCTCTCTGATCTACGAGCTGTTCCATTTGCGTACATCTCTTCAAACTCTTTTTTCGCAATAAGCAGTCTATCTGGGGCTAAACGTCTGGGACGAGCTGCGACTGGTGGACCAGGGGTAGTACGTATATGATGCTTCGTTTGGTGCTTGGTTTCTTTTGGCTTTCCAGTAGGTTTCGTTACATCTGGGTAGTTGCGAAGTAAGTCGTGAAAGTCGGAGTTTCCAGCAACTGTTTTGATGGTCACCGTTTCCACAGCAATGTTGGCGCAGCGTGGCGCGTTGACGGACAAACTTGTGAGGCCGTCGATGAGGCGGTGACGACGACAGTCCACTAATAGGTTGTAGTGGCCCAAGAAGTCAACACCAATGATGGGTCGTGTGACGTCCGCAACTACGAATCTCCAGGTGAAGTCCCGGCGAAGTCCGAGGTCCAGGTGTAAGGATATGTAGCCATACGTAGCTATGATAGTGTTGTTGGCAGCGTATAACTCATATTTAGTTTTATGACGCTGGTCTCTGGTCGCCGACTTAGGAAAAACGCAAACGTCAGATCCCGTGTCTATCAAGTACTTCAGTTTAGTTTTCTTTTCGACGATGAAGAGGCGGTCATTAGGAGTATGCGTTAGGCAGTCGTTAGCCGCCACTACAGGCTGCCGTTCGCGTTTAAAGTCTTGTAGGAACAGGGCGTGAGACATTTTATGGCGCCTTCACCGAATTTTCTGTGGTAGTAACACACGCTATTCATTTTGTTTTCCTTCCATCTTTGGGTGGAGCGTGAGTGAGATCTTGATCTGTTATACCTACGTTGTGGTGATCTGCTTGATCGGCTATTATGCATGCTCAGGGAAGCAACTTGCTTGGTTAATTCGTTAACTTGCCTGGCCAAGCTTTCTAAAACGGTGAGGTAGTGGTCTGGAGGATTTCCAGCATGTTGGTTAGCTGAGGACGATGTAGCGGCGTAAACATTTGGTGGGGTTGGGGCTGCGATGGCTATAATTTTGTCAGCCAACTCTGCAAGTTTCTCTAGCGGCATATCCATATGCGATGCAATGATAGGTTGAATGTTATTGGGTAACCTATTGTGCCATGCTGATCTAATAAATTCGTCTGGTACCTGTGGTCCGGCCAAATGTTGTAGGTGACGAAGAAATTGTGAAGGCTTTCTAGTGCCGAGTTCTTGATTGTCTAAAAATTGCCTAATTTCTTCTTCGCGCGGTTTACTTAATCGCCTTATTAGCTCCGCTTTGAGGGTTTGGTATTTGTTGTCTTTGGGAGGACTTTCTATAATATCCGCAACTTCAATAGCGAACTGTGGGTCCAGCTGGCTAGTCGCGTTATA